AGTCTATGACAAAGTTGGACCTTTGGCCATCTAGCTTTCCTGTCACGTGACCTCGCTGACGCAACAATATATACTATTTTAAGCTATATTTTCAATGCTTTAATTTGGATGTTGGTTAGAGAGGCATGACGATCGAAAATTTTATAAAAGTAGGTCTAGAACTTGTTGCACAAACTATGAGGCGTGACCCCCAAGGGGGGAATGGAGAGTCGGTAGGGCGGGTGACTATGACAATAGGAGCATATAAATTATGTCTGGAAGCACAAATTTAAAAGTAAGGAATTTTTATAACTAGTGTACATATACATGTAGTACTATTAAGTAATATAGTAACAACAAATAACATGGGAAAATGACATGTACAGTATATACACTGTTACGTTTCTGTTTGTTTGTTAATTTCCCGTAGAAATTCTTTCCGAGGAACTTCAACGATACAAGTCCTTTCTTAATTAAAACTAGTTTATTCTTTCTCGATACAACTTTGCAATACACAGAATTTCCAGAGTCACTTTAACTTAATTACTTTTATAAACACACGCTATAATTCCCAACGATTCACACACTTTACTTATGGTGCCTACTGTTTGCTTGGCTCAGTTATCTCTCTTCAATCTATCTCCGGCTTATATACTAAAAAAGAGGGTGTCTAGCATACGTGGGACATTCGTGAGGTTGCCCGATAAGTCACGATCCTTCTAGAAACTCCAGCGCGCATGCTCCCAGCGTCGCGTGATTTCCGCTGTCGTAACAACACAAATAGGTTATACAGGGGTGCGGGGGCACAACAAAACGCATATTTAAGAAGAGAAAGTGGAATATAAAATGCTTGCTTACTCTGGCTTAAATTTGACATCAAGAATCTAGTAAATTTAGGAAGTATCAAGAGATGAGAGCATATTATAAATACGGGAATCAGTGAAGCATTGAGTCAGTTTGGTTTTCAGTTGATATAGTACTAGTCATTCAGTGAAAATTTAGTTTAAATGATGTATTTGGATCTGTCTCAGTTATTGCATATATTCAGTTATTTCGTTGATTAGCCATAAAATTATAAAAGCAAATTTATTCTTAGTTAATCATAATACATTTGTTGTGGTATTTCCGTTTGGTCGTCGTATGTAAAGTTAGGCCTACAACTTACAACAGTGTACAAGCTTGTAGAGATGTCAAGGAAGAAAATAACTGCTCTGTTATCATTAAGTGGACTTGACTTGACTTGACCTTATTTTCAGCAAAAATTTTAAAAGAACCCACCCAAAGAAAGAAAAGAGGTACAACAACTTAGCGTCAGAAGTGGGATTAAAGCAATGATGAAATTATTAAAACAATACCCCGAAGAAAGAAACAAGAAAATTAAATAAGACCAAGAAGAAATGTACAGAAACGTTGAAGAAGGTTACAGAAAATTAAAAGAAGGCTGCTGTCAAAAGTGGGACTACGCTTGAGGTTCTTTTTCCTCAAATGATCCAGAACTTTCCTTAATCCATCATATGCTTTACCAAAGGTCCTCACATGTGCAATTATGTCATTCACGTAGATGAGTACAAGATTTCAGGTCGTTCAGACAGAGCCACTACATTAAATGTTTAAATCTAGCAAGTACATTAAATAATCCAAATGGTAACACAACAGACTGCCATAATCTATTTCTTCCAGTAAAAGTTGTCTTCTCTCCAGTTACTTTGTTGACTTCCACGTGAGAATATACACTATTAAGATCCAATGTTGAAAACCATTTTGATCCAGATAGAACATCCAAAGTAGAGTCAATCCCTGGACTGGGTAGGCATCTTTCTTTGTGACTTCATTCACTTTCTAGAAGTCCATGCAGAACCTTGTGGATCCGTCCTTTTAGTTCACAAGTACATTAGGTGATTCTAATAGACTACTAATTGGATATATTACTCCTTGTTTCTCCATGACCTCTATTTCTTTAGAAGTCTCCAGCCAACATCCAAATTAATGCATTGAAAATATAGCTTACAACAGTATTATGTTTTACTAAATCTGAGAAACATATATATCTGACAGAGACGAATCTAGGATTCAATTAAGGGTTTAGTTGTAATATCACACTTCAAAATATATCAGATATATCAAATATATCAAAATATATCTAGATAAGATCAATTTAAAATGAATGCACTGCATCAACGGTACAAAAAGTACAAGTTAATTATTTTTAGACATAAAAAATAATCTATGATATTTAAAAAAAATCAAGGAGGGGGGGTCGTTTTACCACCCTGAAGTTTAGTGTTTATTCATAGGATCTTTGTAGGTTCTAACACACATTAATCAATTCTTTCAAATCATAATAGAAAACATTATACTTCGCTTGCAAAATGTTACGTGTTGTTATTAACGAAATAATGTAGATTCTTTTCAAACTGCTGTAGCAGCAATCTTGTTTACGAATTTCACCGTTCGTCGAAACAAACTCTTAAAACACCATAGGCTATTTCGAAAATTGTTTGTTATGTATTTCGCGCAAAACTACACGAGGGCTATCTGCGCTAGATGTCCCTAATTTAGCAGTGTAAGACTAGAGGGAAGGCAGTTAGTCGTCACCACCCACCGCCAACTCTTGGGCTACTCTTTTTACCAACGAATAGTGGGATTGACCTTCACATTATAACGCCCCCACGGCTAAAAGGGCGAGCATGTTTGGTGTGATGGGGATTCGAACCCGCAGATTGCGAGTCGCGGGCCGTAACCACCTGGCCATGATTTCGAAGAAGCCCTTTAATTAGAGTGATCTCTTCTTAAGAAGTTACTGCTGGTGTGGGGGTTTGATTTTGATTCAAACACTTTCAAGTTGGAGGAAGAAAAAGGTGGAAACAAATGTTATTATTTCTCAACGTTTGCAAGTAAAGTTTAACCTATAACAAAAGCAATGAGTAAGTGCTTAATAATTAGTGTTATATAAGCTTCCCACTCTACAATAACTTTCATATTGTTATAAGCTATATTTTTAATTGTGTGATTTAAATGTTAGTTACAGGGCGCATCACGCTAAGATCATGCTACTCCTAGAATATTCGGAAATGTTAATGAACGAGAGACTTCGTAAAATATCTAGAACAAAGATTAGGTTATAAATAGGAGTGAGTCAGTCAATTGGCTAAGTAAGCTTGCAGTAAAACAGTGAAGTATCAAAAAGATTGTTGTTTCTATCCGGTAGAGTAGATCAGTCAGTGTGTGTACATGTTTAGATCTGTATTAGCTATCGCGCATATTGAATTACTTTTGTAGAAGTAAGTTGAATTTTATGTTAGTGTGGTGCAAGTAGAGTGGTTGTAAACATAGGCCTACAACAAGTTACAAAACATTTAAGCCTGTAAAGAAACGTAAAGGAGGAAATAAAACTAATTTCTTATTGTTACATGTATTGTACGTTGAATTATTTTCATTAGATAACTTAAAAGAACAATTTTACAAAATGTTTATAAACAACTTAACATGGTTAGGTCACCTGCATAATTTAAAAACTTTGTTTTGTTATTGTCTAGCAACGTTTCGAGAGGATATGTCAGGCTTAAAGTAAGAGTACCCTAACTGGTATATTAAATTAACTACAATACTGCTATCTATTTAACTAGATGTACTTACGTAGTGTCTCCGAATGTGTTTTGTTTCAAGAGTAAGTAAAACCAAAATGAAGAATTACAAACATATTTTTTCTTGCTTTTGAAGTTCATATGTCATGCTATGTTGTAGCTTACAGAGTGCAAAATGTTTCTCATGATTCATGCCATACGCACGTTTTATTGACAGTACAAATTACAACGTTAAGTGATGTCATTTTAGTGTCTACTGATTGAATAACTGACAAACAACAAACTACTGTATAGTGGTGGACTGGTTAAAACAGATGACCCCACCAGGCGGCCTTCAGCCCCCTTTCGGTGAAATTAGAGAATAGAAGTGATTCGCAGTTATTCTGCTAAAAAACTAACCTGACTCCAGCATTGTTGCAACGAGTAACCATATCCTTGAAAGCACTCTGGTCCCCACTTCTTGTACCTAATTTGTAGCTGACAGGTTGATACCTCTCGTACCAGGGTCTTTTGACATGACTACCCCAACTTGGAGAGTAGACAATACCATTTTCATTAGGCGGAGAAACCTAGAAAACAATTATTTATGAAAAATATCACTGGAAAACATATGCTTTTATTAAATATAATAACATTACTATACAGTAATGGAGTTAATTACTTACAAGCCTATAATCAAAAATATAAGAGCATATTCAAAAGTTTATAATAAAACAACATCAATAATGAGGGGGTCGACGACCCACGAGTCTATAATAAAATGTATAATAATGAAATCATCCGTCCACAACTCTTTCATAAAACAACACGTTCAGTAAGGATACTGTTACCCTCAAGTCTGTAGTAAAACAACACGTTCAGTAAGGATACTGTTACCCTCAAGTCTGTAGTAAAACAACACGTTCAGTAAGGATACAGTTACCCTCAAGTCTGTAGTAAAACAACAAGTTTAGTAAGGATACTGTTTCCCACAAGTCTATAGTAAAACAACACGTTTAGTAAGGATACTGTTACCCACAAATCCATAATAATAAAATACGTTTAGTAAGAATACTGTTACCCACAAGTCTGTAGTAAAACAACAAGTTTAGTAAGGATACTGTTACCAACAAGACCATAGTAAAACAACACGTTTAGTAAGGATACTATTACCAAAAATCTTTAATAAAGCAACACGTTTAGTAAGGATGCTGTTACCTACAAGCCTATTGTAAAACAACACATTTAATAAGGATACTGTTACATACAAGTCTATAGTAAAACAACACGTTTAGTAAGGATACTGTTACCCACAAGACTATAGTAAAACAACACGTTTAGTAAGGATACTGTTACCCACAAGACTATAGTAAAACAACACATTTAGTAAGGATACTGTTACCCACAAGACTATAGTAAAACACCACTTTTAGTAAGGAGTCAATTATTCACAAGTCTATAATAAAACAACGTGTAGTAACTGAGTCAATTATTCAAAGTCTATAATAAAACAACGTGTAGTAAGTGAGTCAATTATTCACAAGTCTATAATAAAACATGGGTAGTAACTGAGTCAATTATTCACAAGTCTATAATAAAACAACGTGTAGTAACTGAGTCAATTATTCAAAGTCTATAATAAAACATGGGTAGTAACTGAGTCAATTATTCACTAGTCTATAATAAAACAACGTGTAGTAACTGAGTCAATTATTCAAAGTCTATAATAAACAACGTGTAGTAACTGAGTC